ACACTCTCTCACACACTCTCTCTCACACACACTCTCTCACACACTCTCTCTCACACTCTCTCTCTCACACACTCACACACACTCTCTCACACACACTCTCTCACACACACACACTCTCACTCACACTCTCTCACACACTCTCTCTCTCTCACACACTCTCTCACACACTCTCTCACACACTCTCACACACTCTCTCACACACTCTCACACACTCTCTCACACTCACACGCTCTCTCACACACACACACACACGCTCTCACACACTCTAACACACTCTCTCTCTCTCATACTCTCTCACACACTCTCTCACACTCTCTCTCTCTCACATACTCTCTCACACTCTCTCTCTCTCATACTCTCTCACACACTCTCTCACACTCTCTCTCAGTGGCGCTGCGGTGCTTGGGCTGAGGACGCGTCTCTCAGCCCACGCGGCGATCGTTGCTGCACTCTGCACCCTGCTGATGATGCTCCGCCGCGTTGTTTACCCCGTTGGCGTGACGCGCAGAGTTCCATCGCGGCCGATTCCAGTCAATGCAGGCGGTGGGGCGGTGGTGGTGGGGCCAGGGGGTGTGCAGGGGGCGGCCCGAGTTCGATTCCAGCTCACGGCCACCGACACCAGTGACGATTATCTGAACCGGTCCTGGGCCTCCTCTAGGTCGACTCGGCCTTAAACGAGTGCCTCGTGCAGTGTGTAAACATCGTCACTCGGGAGACGAAGGCGGCTGGGCGTGGTGCTGGCCACCCACCCCCTCGTGTGCCGTGCCGGCCTTCATAGGTGCTCGCTAACAGCACTTGCCCCTACAGTCTGTTACGGCTATACGGGGGGGGGGGGGGGTCTTTGTTTTGTTGGGGGGTGGAGGCGTAGGGGGTTGGACGGCTTGGTGGTGGGTTGAGGGGGTGTGGAGAGGTCACCCACGGCCCCAACTGCGTAGTGCTGGGGGGGGGGGTGGTCGTTGCCGAGAGGGGTCACGCGATCGAGTTCCTCAATTGCTGCCCGAGTCCTGGCCCCAAAAATCAACAACGGTGACGGCGATCAACGCCGTGAATCGTCGTGGCTTTTTTTTTCTTCTGTTTGCTTTGTTTCAAGCTTCCCCATTATGGCGGAGAGCGTTTACACAGTCAGCTCTGTCTGCCAAGTCCATCTGTAAGGGGTGCGGTCACCATAGCTCTCACCATAGCTCTCGTTAAGATGACCCACTGTGGAGGGCACAAAGTCGGGTGGTTATCTAGGGCTTTTTACCTTATTGCAATGGTGGCCAGGAAATGCCAGTAAAGCAATGGATTCCTTGGATCTTTATGTGCGGAGGCTTGAGTCTCTAATCTGCCCCTCGTGTGCGTGGTGGGTTTGCTCCAGGTTTTCTCCAGGTTTTCTCCAGGTTTTCTCCGGTTCGCTCCCCATGTGAAGTCAAACTTATTAATAATGCAATTGGCCAAACACCGAAATGCAGCACCCTCCCGAAGATGAGTCTTGAGACTCTGCACATGACCAGTTCAGATATGACGCGCCATCCATTTTGGCCGTGGCAGGGAATTGAACGCTGGTCAGGGCTGGATCCAAATGTGGCGGAGGACAAAGGGGGCGGTGGGGGGGGTGATCGCCCTGTTTAGGGCCCATTTTAAGGCCCCATTTAAAAGGCTTGACATTTTGGAATCCTGCCCCCGCCCCCCACTGTGCTCAGAAGTTTCTAGATTAGCCTCTGGCTCTGGTAGCCCGTAGGTTTGTCGTGCAGTGCGCACTGATCGTTGCACCACCGCTTCATCTGCACGTTTTTTTGTATTATGATCAACTCCAATCCTTGTTTGCAAAAGATCCTTACCTGTTTCCCTATATTTGCACTCCTTTACTTCGCTGGTATTGTATGCCGTTGTGACTTGCTGACCCGCCCATAGTGGACATCTGTGGAAAAGAGCTTCATAGCTCATCGGATTCCTCCTGCAGTCTAAATAACAGATTCTGATTTTGATCCGCTCGACTTTTCTTATTATTATTATCTTGAGAGTCCTCTCCTGGTCAGGCCGATGCAAACGCAAAAGGCACTTGGAATATATTACATTATTTGGCAGGCGATCTAAAAAAAGGATTTGCGTGTTTCTCTGGGGAAACTTGAACTTGCATTGTGGCAGCCGCGAGCCGTGAAGAGGCCATCCGAATGCTCGACGCTCCCTCGCGCAGGCTCGGGCGGTCCCTCCGCCTTTCGAATGCCGCGTTTACATTTTGTTTGACCAGGTGACAACTCAAAGGAGACGAGATGGATGGATCGAGAAGCGTTTTCCGAGAGTGACCTATCTCGTCAAAAAAGTGACACAAAGGCAATGACATGAAGCACGTGGAAAATGGAGCAAATAAAGAAACACGCCGAGCAAAGCCAACTGGACGGACTGTGTGGGTCTGTAGCTGTGAGCTTGTGTGAAATTGCATGTGTGCCTGTAAAAAAGTGAGGTCAGAGAAAGCCACAGAAGACTTTATTTTACGTTCATGAGATTTGTTTTTCTAACTTTTGCAAAAGGCTATCGGAATGCAAAATCGTCTTTTTGAGAGGGCCGGGTAAAGTTGTTTGAGGTTCAAGTGCTTGGTTCTTTCTTAGTTGTTAAAATCCAACTTTCTGGACAAAGGCCTCTCCCTAATATCTGACCCACTTTACTGTGTCTTTCCATCTCCGTCCCGTCTATATGTCGGTCTATGGGTTTCTATGCGAGTCTAGTTCTGTGTGTGATTATATCGGTCTCTGTGTGAGTCTACGGGTCACTCTGTGAGTCTATGGGTCTCTGAGTGAGTCTGTGATTATCTATTTGAGTCTATGGGCCTCGGAGTCTGTGTAAGGCAATGGGGTTTGTCCTTATTCTTGCTTTCTTTAGCATACACATCCTGTCCCCAGTGTCTTCAACTCTCTATTATCATTTGTCACCTCCATTGATCGTTCCATTCCAAATGTTCTTATCTCATCCAGCCATCTCAAATTGAAGTACCCTGTGACTCACACGCTCACGGTGCATATTGCACAAGTAGATTACAATTACACGGTCATCAACCTGTAATAATTACCACTCTAACGGCGTCAAACACACTCATAAACAAGGGAGTCAGCCCCCCTTGTGGGGCATTGTTTTATTTTCGTGATCATAAAAGCCTCTGGCATTCTCGCCCATGGTTGTGGAGGTGGTGGTGGCTGAGAGGCTGGGGGCGAGCTCTCGGCGAGTGTTCGGTAAAGCATCAACCAAATATTGGGTGAGCATTGGGGCGACTGTTGGGCAAATGGCTGAGCAGGTGGTTTGGTGAGCGTTGCGTGAAAGTTGGGCGATTCTTTGCTCGAGTGATTGCGCGAGTTGATTGGGCAAGTACAGCATTGGGTGAGCTTTTGGTGAGCATTAGGCAAAGCATCGTACAAGATTTACACGAACATTGAGGCCGGTGTCGGTTGGGCGTTCTGTGAGCATCGGGACGAGCGGTGAGTGACCGAGTGAGTGGTGGGCGAGTGCGTGGTTGACCGTCATATGCAGGTCTGTATGAGAGTTGGCCGAGCATTAGGCAAGGGCGGGGGGAGAGCCGTTAGAGGCGAGCGCCGCTAATCTCCAGCGTAATTCCGCGTGTGGGGCGATGCGGGAGGGGGGGGAGGGCGCCCCCGAAAATTAGCGCGCGGCACGCGGCGGCTCGTACGAGGCGGTGGGGGCGAGTGCCCTGCCGTCGGGGAAATCCAAATCTTGGGCTCGGCTGGCGGGGTACAATGGGGGGGGGGGGGGGGGCAGCTGTGTGGGGGGTCGGGAAAGGGAGCGGCTCAAATCTCGTTTGCGTTCAGTGTAGATCGGCTGTCGTAACGATTCCCGCGGGCGGAGGGAAGCGATTCCGTGTAATTATGCGAGGAACAGAGTTTCCGCCGTGGATTGGCGTTGGGGTATTTTTGTTACATTTAAACTAAACTATTAGACTAAACCATGTTTTTTATTTTACCAGGTAAGGCTCACTGTGCTATATCACTGCCACATGATGAGCCACTTCGTTAAGCGGTCACTCGTGGCCAGGTAGCTTCTGAAAAAGAGCTACATAGCTCAGTGGGCTCTACTTGGTAAAATAAAAAAAAATTGTTTAGTTTTATAGAAACGCATTGAATAAATAAAAAAGCTCTCTCTAATTGGTATCTTGGGGGTGAAATTCAGCAAGTGTTGTTGTTCTCGAGTTTACTAAGACAATTTAAAAAACCCCACTTGGGAGCAGAATGCAAGAGTGTGAAAACCTTGATGAACGAACCGACGCACAAGTGACGCCGACAGAATTCCTTTGCACTACGGGAATCGCGTTGACGCGTTTGAGGTCGGACACTTTTTTTGAGTGAGGCGCACGCCGTATCCACTGTGAAACACGTGGCCGCCCGTTTCGGGCATTCGCTTAATATCGCGTACAAATAAAGATGTCGTTATAGAGTATCAAAATGGTACAGGTGCAGCCCTGCAATTGCTTGCTCACGCCCCCGCCCGTAGAAGAACGCCTGCTCTAGAGAGCGCTTCTTGGGGGTAATTTGGCCCACTTCTCCCATGCTGGCCAGACGTCTCGGAAGAGGTGGCAGTGACCCACATTTTACCCCACCACACGCGACTCGCCGATCGATTGACTTGGCTGTGGCTGCAGCCCTTTCACACCGCCGTGTGGACGGACGCAAGAGGGAGGCTTTTAAGATGCCCGCACCGTTTGTTTCAAGGGGCAAATTCAAAGAAATCAAATTGAGCCGGAAAACCTCTGGATGTACATTTTTGGTGCGGGAACCATCACACTGCGGCAGCGTTCCATTCTAATATCGTTTCTAAAATAACCTGTACGTCTGTCTACGTAATAATTGAATCCTGTTCATGTTTTACATCGATGAAGAAGGAACTATGGCCGCCCCCTTCGTCGATGGTCCGGTGGGCGTTTTCTCTGTCCCCACAAACCTCGTCTTAATCGCGGTGGCTGCGATGGCTTAAAGTGCGACCCCCCCCCCCCGTCCTCCTCCCCGCTGTTGCCGCAGGTGGCGATAAAGTCAATCCGCAAGGACAAGATTAAGGATGACGGCGAGATGGTGAACATCTGGCGGGAGATCGAGATCATGTCGTCGCTGAGCCACTCCAACATCATCGGCGTCTACGAAGGTGCTTGGCGGGGCAAATCAGATTTTGTTAAAAAATTACGTATAATTGTTTAAAAATTCTTCCGCTGAGATCACACGTGTTGATGTGTTTTAGTAGGGGGTTTCCAACTGCTTTCAGCATCGTGTCGTCAGATGAATAAAAATCCATTGGTAAAGTGGCCGCCCTTGTATATAACAAAAAAAAACCGGCAAGTGCGGTGGGCATTGGTAGCTACGCTGCACGTGGCCGCCTGTAATCCAACGCTTCTGTGGAGGCAGCCGAGGGAGGGTTGGTGGATCAGTGCACAGATGTTGTGAAACTCCCTTATTCCCGTGGGCGTCAAGGAGGTGCCATACATACCTATGGCTCGCTAGGAGAAGGCGGCATGGCAAGTGTGGACGCCGACTCTTTCATATGTATGGGATAGAGCGTTGTCCCCTCGCACCTGTGGGTGTTTATTTCCCGGTGCTTCGGTTTCCTCCCACATGTAAACGCTCCTTCATTGGCTGATAACATTTTAATATATGGAGGACCACAGCAATTGGGCAATTGTTGGTGCCAGCTCACCGTACGGATGCTGCCTTTCCCGCTCGTCTGTGGTTCTTCTCGCCTCCGAGTTGTTCTCCTTCTTTGAGAGCGAGCGAATACTGGACGGCAATGGCGTTCCAAGCCGAAATAATCTTAATTTTTTTTTTACAAAATCTGTCCCAAATAAACCCTTAAATATTTTTTTTTGCTAAATTCTAGACGAAGTTGTAGGGCACACTTTCCCACACGCTCTGCTATGAGATCGTCGCGTGGCAGTCAAACATCTCGTCAGCAAGATGCTTGGTTAAAGCTGTGCCCAAGTCAATTGAAGGGATACTCAGAAGTAGTTCTGTGATATCTGCTTCCCTGGACCATTCTCTAACGAGGGGTGATCCGCCTCGGGGCGCGGCTGACACGGACGTCACAGCAGTCACGTAGGAGGAGGTTTTGGCAGTCCGTGCTGCGTTTCTCTCTCCGAGGCTTCTTCGGGTCGACGCCTCTTCAGCCGTTCGGCACGACGTCCGACGTTTCGCGCTCCCGAGTGCTGGGAGCTGCTTCAGCTTTCCCCAAATCGCTTCTCGAAGAAGCGTCGGGCATGGCTCGGTGCGACCCGAAGACGCGTCGGGAGAGAGAGCGAGAGAGCGCAGTTGGGGAAACAAAAGTTGCGCAGAAAAAAAGGTGTTCAACTGAAACATTTTTTTTTATCAGTTGTGGATTGCAGCTCAATTCTGCTCGGAGGGGGGGGGGGCGGGCGGGGCGTTGGTGGGGGGGGCGGTGAAGGGATTTAATCATTTGTTTTGCTTTGCATTTTAATCACAAAGGGATTTTAATCGGAGGGGATGTTTTGCTCTCTCGCACAGAGGGGGGGGGGGGGGGGTTTGGTGTGGGACCCTGGGTGTGAGCTTCCTGCTGCTGCGAGGGCGTTCTCGCCGGGCGTCGGAGCGGAGACCCCGAGAGAGAAGGAGGGGGCGGCGGGGGGGGGGGGGGCGAGAAAGGAGGGGGGAAGGGAGCGGCGCAAAAACACAAGCGTGTGGGCACTTTGCACAAAGGCGACGTTCGTTCGTTCGCTCGCTCGCTCGTTCTCTGGCTCGTTCGTTAGCGCCGCGATGGTGGCGTTACGGTGAGCGGTTGAGCAACGCCACAACCCCAGGCCAGTGCGACGCTACGTGGGCGCGATGAGTCTGAGCCGTTACTCTTTATCTTGTTATGACATCGGGTGTGCATGCGAGACTGCTCCTGTGAAACGAACAAAAATAAAACACATTTGCCACAGACCTGACGTTCAAAACAATTACAGGCAGACTTTCAATTATATATTTTTTTGGAACGCGAAAATTGTTGATTAATTATGTCATTAAAAAAGTAAAACATATGAGACGAGGTCAGTGTTGATATGCAAAGGTAAAGGCGCAGCCCTGAAACTGCTCGCTTGCGCCGCTGCTGGCAGAAGGGCCTCCACTAGGTGGGGGGGGGGGGGGGCTCTGGAGATCCCCCTCAAGAGGGTATTTGGTCTACTTTTCCACACTGGCCACACGACTTGGAAGAAGTGGAAGTATACCCACACTTGACCCCACCACGTGCAACCTTTTTTAGATTGACTGTGGCGGTGAGCCTATTTTCATCCTGTTGGTCGGACAGAGGTGACGTGGGGATTTGAGAAATGTGCTCCTCGTTTCAACTGCCCCGCCGAGAGATTGAATCGAACCGGCGACCTCTGGACTGCAAGTCCGGACCGCTGCTGACCGTTGCTGCACCTGCGACTGTGGCAGCTTTGATAACCAAAAATTTCACCGAGTTTACAACAACAAAAAAATAATTAAAAAAAAGGAGACCAGGTGGGCACAGCAGTCAGATCGCCGAGCCAGCACTGTTGAGATTTTATGGGTTTATCCTCCCGTGCGATTAAACTGGATTGTGAAACGCAGCACGTTGCTGTTGTTCGCCCGGTCATGGTGACTGCCCCCTCCCCCCCCCCCCAAAAAAAGAAAAATAACACACTTAAATTGAATTTGTTTAACTCGAAAAAAAAGAAATCAAAACTAAGTCTGTGCCCCGTTTAAACGAATGCGGCTGTAGATACACAATGGTCCGGAAGACCCACAGAGTGGTCAGCAAAAAAATACGTGTTTTTTTTATGGTGAAAAACAAAGCGAGGACGTTTGATCACCTTGTGAACATTCCTTGTCGTTGTGTTGCTGGGTTATTCCATCGCAGGGTCGTCGTGAGTGATGGGGGGCGGCTTAGGGAGGTCTTCATCCAGCAGTGGATTGACCATGGCTGATGATGATGGTGACGAAGAGTTAGCCAGGTGGAGCAGTAGAGGGGGTGGTAGGTGGCGGGCGGTTGATTCCCATCCCCACCTCCCACTTTCTAATTCCTGCATCATCAGTTGCAGAAGAGGTGTGCTGCCCCCTCTCATTCTGGACAATTTACGGCAGTGATGGGCAGCCCAGACGAGTCGGTGGGCGGGCCTCCTTCGCCTCAGTGGGCCACAAGCTCGACATTGTGCTCATGCACAATGTCGAGCTTGAGTCTATGGGCCGTGTTGAGTCTACGGCAGTGATGGGCAACCCAGATGAGTCAGTGGGCCACGTGGGCTGCCCTCCTTCGGATGAGTGGGCCGCAAACTTGACACCGTGCTGGCGCACCAATCATCACACCACGCATCACCCTAGACACACTTGGGCCAGGCCACCCACGAGGGCCCTCCACGCAACGCGTGTGGCCGGCGGGACGCAGGTTACCCACCACTGGTTTACATCCATTTGTAAATCCACTGCTGGCTGTCGGCTTCTCCAGGCCAATCAGTCATGGGGTTTTGTTGTTGTTGTTGTTGTTGTTTGTTTGTTGGTAACAATAATTCACCATGCTGGTCAGTTGCGGGTTGGCAAAAATCTGGCGAGGGCCAGACCGTGTCCGACACCGCACGCCACCCGTGTCAGCCGTGGCCGCGGGTTGACCACGCGTTTGTCGGCTTCCACCACGCAGTGTGCTAATCGCTGAGCCAGCGCTCTGTCTACCCCCCCCCCCCCCGCCCGCGGATTGAACCCGACTCAAAGCGTGTAAATTTTCCCCCTCGGCAAAACCTCTGCCCTAGCCCTGTTCTAAGTCATCGTTTCATCCAATTGGAGACACCTTGGGGTTTTGCTGATGCTGCGTAAAACCAAAGATTTTACGTCTGTTAAACGAGACGCGGTTCCTGCACTTTGCTCATGTGTTTGTTTGGCCTTAATAGACGCTCACTAACGACACATGTCCCTGTCTGGACGGATCGAGGGGGATAAACGGGCTTTGGCACGGCTAGAAAAGAGGGGGACTCATGCGGTACAGGAGGATGTGGAGCTGATTGGACTTGCCGATGACTGGTACCACTCGTGTCAAAATCAGCCTCTATGGCTGGAGTCAATCGCCCAGTAATCTCAATCTACCCACGGCACCCGGGTCTATCCCATGACCTCCTGCCGGCGAGCCCTCCATGCTTCACGTGGCCTCAAAGTGCTCCTAGCCTGGCGCAATGGACGTGGTGACGTCACAGGCACTTAGTGGCATATCGCGGCTGTTGGTGTTGTGTGCGCATCTATCTGATGACAGCTTGAATAGGCGCTTGCTTACAGCACTTTACCCCGACAAGTCTATAAGACTACCTACCCTAGGGTAGGGAACCTTCGTCTTTTTGCTTGCGTCCGTGCGATGTTTAATGCGTGCGTTCATTGGTTTGCACGTGCGTGTGTGCGCAGTGGTTAGCGCACACTGCGCTATGAACCCGGCGACCCGAGTTCGATTCCCGCTCACGGCCACCGGCACCAGCAATGATTATCTGAACCGGTCCTGGCCCTCCCCTAGGTCGACTCGGCCTCAAACGAGCACCTGGTGCGATGCGTAAACATCGTCACTCGGGAGACGAAGGCGGCGGGGCGCGCTGCTGGCCACCCACCCCCTCGTGTGCCGTGCCCCCAAAACGCCTGTCGAGGCTGTAATGGGGGCCGTTTGGTCGTTGTCCTCCCCCCTTAGTGTTCGAGAACAAGGACAAGATCGTGATGGTGATGGAGTGCGCCGAGGGGGGGGAGCTCTACGACTTCCTCAGCGCGCGTCGCCGCCTCCCCGACGCCGAGGCACGGCGTCTCTTCCGCCAGGTCGTCTCGGCCGTGCACTGCTGCCACAAGGTGAGGGCGGCCGAGGGCGCTGAGCAGGCGCCGGGGGCCTCCATGCCACCACGCCGGGGAAGGGGAGGGGCCCACTCGAATCCACATTGAACGTCAACGTCACGCGCTCAAGAGTGTTTGGCTGCATTGTCGGCGCGATGATGAGACACTTCGGCGAGCTATCATTTGGGGCCAGGTCGCTTCTGGAATGAGAGCTGTATAGCTCGGCCGGGCCTTACCTGGTAAGATAAAAATAAAAATAAATGGTATCCTCGCACCAGCGGCCCCTGCTGACGGCCACGGGCCTGCGTCACTTCGCGGCGGCAAACCGCGCCACAACCACCACCACCACCACCGTGTCTCTTCACGGCCACCACCACCGTCACCGCCGCGTCTGTTCACGGCCACCACCACCACCACTGTGTCTCTTCACGGCCACCACCACCACTGTGTCTCTTCACGGCCACCACCACCACTGTGTCTCTTCACGGCCACCACCATTGTCACCACTGCGTCTGTTCACGGCCACCACCACCACTGTGTCTCTTCACGGCCACCACCACCACTGTGTCTCTTCACGGCCACCACCATTGTCACCACTGCGTCTGTTCACGGCCACCACCACCACTGTGTCTCTTCACGGCCACCACCACCGTCACCGCCGCGTCTGTTCACGGCCACCACCACTACCGTGACCACAGCTGTCGTCGTCACCGTGATTATAATTATTACTGCCGTCATCGTAAGAATCATCATTTTCAGCGTCACCATCAACTTTATCCCACCGTCGTCGTCGTCGTCGCCATCGCCGCCACTGTCACCAGAACCATGCATCGTCATCTTCATCATAATCATCATCGCCGTGATCAGAACACCATCATCATCTTCAATAAACAGACGCACAGCACGACGGGGGCAGTTCAAATGAGCCAGAACACAAGATCCAGGCGGCACATGAGAGCGGGGCTTAATTTCAGTTGGCGACCTGGAAAAATAAATCCACACCCAGCACATCACATCTGGTAAACCTCCCGCTGTGACCGTGGCTACTAGTCGCGTGCCTGCTCCAGCCGAATGATCATCCGGGAAAACGTATTTTCTGAGAACGTAAACCCAGCATTAGAGACAGAACAAAGACGGGCAGAACAAAACGACAGCGAAACGAGGCCAATCGAGAATCGATTCTCGAACTGAATCGCGTGGGCTTTCCCCAGGTGCTCCGGTTTCCTCCCACGCGTAAACACTCGTGAATTGGCCAATAACCACATGAATATACAGGGTGCTTCAAAACAACGTTAACACGTATTGGAATTGTTTTTCTTTCGGACAGTCCCATATTAGCGTTAACATTGTTTCGAAGCACCCAGTATGTTTACATGTAGAGGACCACAGATGTTGGGCGATTTGTCGGCGCCGGCTTATTGCGTGGCTGCCTTCCCGCTCGTCTCCAGTTCCGTCCCGCGCCCTCTGGAGTCGTTCCGTCTCCTCTCTCTGTTTGAGAGCGGACGCCGGGCACACCTCACAGGTCGAAATGATCATCGTGCGCGCAATGGCACGGTCAGCTACGTACGGTGCGAGCGAAGTTCTTCAACATGCGTGTGAATAGACGGCAGGGTGCAGGTGGAAGAGGAGGTTGTGGGGAGGGGGTTGCGTGAGCAGTGAATCATGAAATGCCTCCTGGCGGGGGAGTAAATATTAATATCGTGACTCAGGCCTTGATCGTCGGCCCTGAAAAAGAGACGCGCCCACGCTAATCCGGGACCCGGCTCATCAGCATGCAATTCCGGTCGCCCCCCGCGCAATCTAATCAGAGCCTCGTCACCGATAATTACGCCGAGACGAGAGAGAGGAGCAACATCGCGCAAGGTTCGCTCTGTCCGCCCCGCGCTCCCGCGGCGACGTCGACATTATTATTCATCACAACAACAGAAAAAAAGATGGGAGCGGTGCCTTGCCAAATATAACGTCAAGCGACCTTGAGTCACTCTGCCAAATGCGTGTCCATCCACGCGTCCTTGACAAGCCCACGCTCGTGTCGCTGTCCCCTGCCCCTCGAGATTGCACTGCACCCACCCTGCCTATCTCTCCCCTCTCGCCTCATTCTGCTCCACTCCATGCACTCTCCTACCTCTCCCCTCTCATCTCTCTCTACTCCCCTCCACGCACTCTCCTACCTCTCCCCTCTCATCTCACTCTACTCCCATCCACGCACTCTCCTACCTCTCCCCTCTCATCTCACTCTACTCCCCTCCACGCACTCTCCTACCTCTCCCCTCTCATCTCACTCTACTCCCCTCCACGCACTCTCTTACCTCTCCCCTCTGACTCCATCCCCTCTATGCACTCCCCGGTTAATTCACCCGCGGCATTCACCAAGGCGGCCGCTGGCACCGAACCTCTGCGAACGAGCGACGTACGCGCCGCTGCGCTCGGCCGTCTGTAATTGACTGCGATCCCTCCGTCCTCTGTCCCTGCGTCCTCGGGCTCCTTCGTTTCGCTGGGAGCCCCCCGCCGTCGTCTCCGCCGTCGTCAACTCTCAGAACCGTCGCTCGCGCCGGCCGCAACTGCAGCTAGCCCCCCCCCCCCCCACCCCGTCCCACCTGCCCACTCCGATATTCCGGTGCAACCTTTCATCGGCGGGCGCCAAACTGTGATGTCGCCTGTCATGCTGCCGCCGTCGCCGCCGGCGCCGCGAATGTGTACGTTGGGCGGGGGGGGGGGGGGGCGTCAGTTTCCGTTCGAGAGGGGCGCTGACGGTGGAATGCGCACAAATTTGTCGGAGCGCCGCGCAAAACCGGTGTCTCGCTCGCCGGGTGCGGCGGCGGCAATGGCAAACTCGTTCGCGGCCCAACGTCCTCGCGGTGGCGGGAGCGCGATCGTGGCAGGAGAGGTAATCCTCAGGCGACAAGTTTGGTGGCTTCGTGAGCGATCGACGACTTTGTGGCCGATCGATCGGGCGACTTCTCATCGTAGGCAATCGGCGACGTCGCGACCAATGCAAGGCCTCCAGGTGAAATGCACTGGCGGTCAGCGTGGAGGCTCCTTCAGTTGGAGTCGGTGGGGGCTTGGACCCCCCCACTGGTTAGCGAAAGACCATTGAAACCCAACAACAGCAACAATACTTACCTGCTCATTATAACGATTCTAAACTGCACATGCCCCCACCCCCATCCCACTCGCTTCCCCCTCCTTCCCCGGCTCACCCCTCCTCTCCTCGGCCCTGATTTTTGTTGTAAACTCGGATCTCCCTTCCAAAAGCGATTCAATATCCGCACGGTGTCTCGCCTCGTCTAAAACAAAAGCTCCGATGAATGACAATTACATGACTTTGTAAAAAGAAATATATATAAAGTAAAAACTCTCGACATTCGAATTCGCTCACGATCCAAGAGAGTCGGCCGTGAGAAGACTCAAGTCGGAGGTCACGACCTCCAGGTGGCCTTCCCTGTCTCGGCCCTGACACGGATGAACACACACATGTTTACAATGGGTGTCTCATTGTGACCCCCCCCCCCCACTGCGGGCCAATTGCCCAATTGTCTGGTGGCTGTTACGGCCGACTTCGGATCAAAGGTGTGGCGGTTGCAGTGCTGCTCGTAACACCCACGCGCACGGCTAGACAGCACAGCGAGTGCTGCTGCTGCTGCTGCTGCATCATGTTCACACGCGTCATTGCGTACACATTCTACATCCGCCCATCTCCGCAGCGGCTTTTGGCTAACCGTTGAACCAAGACGGTCACCGAAATCGCGCGCTTTCAGATGCGCTTCTGCGGCCGTCTGGAATGCTCCTCCGATATTAGGAAGCCACTGGAGCTGTGCACTTTTGAACATAGACTGAAAACTCATTTCTTTATAACTGCTTTTTGTGTTTAGTTTGTTGCCCTTCCCCCGCACAGTGTGATTAGTAAGATTGGCTACGTACGGGTGCGAAAGAAGTTCAACATACGTGCATTTTCGCTTGATTTTGCTCTTAGTTGAGCTCACGCAGGGGTGACACGCCGGTGAACTGGACATCCCCAAGTGTCAGTGGTGAGCGTACTGGGCGTTTAATCCCGGAAGCCTGGGTTCGATTCCCGGCCATGGCTGGACATCAGCGGCGAGTGAAATCTGAACCGGTCCTGGGGCCTTCCCAGCAGTGACACGGCTTTGGGAAGCCATCATTCAGCAGTGGATTGACAAAGGACTGTACATTACGATACCTTTCTCATCATGAGTTATGGTCAGTCAACTGCTGGATGATGGCCTCTGCAAGCTGCCGCCACCCGTCTCGATACAACGATGTAACAATCCGCACAGCACCTTCACTCGAACTGATTTCACCGCTCCATCTCCTTTGTTGGACGTTCTCTCGACCGTTACTCACAGAACACAGGAGTGGTGGGGGGGTGGGGGTTTGGCGAGGGGAGAGCGAGCATTCCTGTCTCACCGCGCGCCACATTAGCCCCAGCTCGCAAGTAAACTTCCATTCGTTTGGCGTCAATGGGCACGCGTCTGCGGCGGGGTAAAGTGTGCGTACTCCCGACCTCTTCCAAGACATCCAGTACAGCGGCGGAAGATGAGGCCAAATACCGTCCGGGAGTGGGGGGCCCTCTGGAGAGCCAGACCTCCCCACACCCCCCCCCCCCCTTCTCTAGTGAAGGCCTATTCCGCCAGCATGGGTGTGAGAAAGCCATCGCAGGGCTGCACCTTGAACCTACTTGGGGCACCCACGTCTGAACAGACGGCTGTGGTCTGTCTCGGCTGTCTGAGCATGCAACACCGCCGAGAGGTTCGGCGCTCACCAACGCCGCCCACAGACTCCCCGGGCGACCGCGGTCGCCCCTCCACCTCTGTCTGCCCGCCACGGGAGCCGCTCTGACCCTGGGCCGTCTCAACTTCAGGGGCTTTTTAGGGAGGACGCCGTGGTTATTCCGCCCGAGGCCTTGGGTTTTGGGTGGATTATTTAAGGCCCCCCCCACCACCCATCCAAAATAAATAAACAGATCAATGATGAGGTGATTTCCTGTCGCAACAGAGCATCTATAGTCGTGAGTCAGTGGTGGGAATTCCACGTTCCTACAGGACTTGGCATGTCTGTCCAAAGGACGACCACTGTTGTTGTATTCATTTTATAGACCCACAGAAGGATGATGGGCTGAGTCCCCCCCCCCCCATCCACCCAACCACCACCGAAACAAGAATTAAACTCGCAATCTTCCGATTGAGAGCTACTCGCTCTATCGCTGGGCCACCTGGCTAGATATATATACACGTACCATAATACGCTCAGTTTACATCCTGCGTGCGTTCGCGTCCATCAGAGCGATGTCCACGGGGGAGGTGGTGGAGGCGAAGGCTGAGAGGCGACGGATAACGAGAAAGCACGGACGATGCTGTGGGGTTGAGGCGACGCACATCGGGTAGCGGTGTTAATAATAAAGTGACGACGTATTTGAGAAACGACGGAAGAGGTGAAAAATGCACATCGGGGAGTATTGCTGCAGTTATAAAGATCAAGTGCTTATTTCCAGATGGAACAGTCTGAAACGATGTTCCGGGAATTATTTTGGGCGACGCCACATCCTTCTCATGCCTTACTTGTGGCCTGAACATCTTCATAGGCTGATAGGAATACAGGTGTACAATGATAGGCGGTATCTCAGTACTGTTTCTTCTCATTGTTTTAGAATGTTCTAAGTTTGTGTTGAGCATTAATATGACGGCGGCGCTTTGGGTGGCAGATTTTGTGCCAGAAAGGCACCGGTGTGCACGTAACCAGAACTAACATTGACGTGACTAATGTCGGATTATTATTACTAGGCATACCTTGCACTCCACGCGCTGATAATCCCTACTCCAAGCCGGCCAAGTTAGCGCAGCTTTATAGTGGTTGAAACGCGATACTGCTGCGCTACGAAACGTCCTCTTGGTTTATTTGGAAATTGAAGCCATAGGGCTCACTGTGTGCGTTACCGCCTAGTTACGTGCCACAATGAAAAGTTGCGTTCGTATTAACTTTGATTTGGCCTCTTTACGGCTGTGCGACTCACAGCTAGAGAGCGCAGCTCTGAAATAACAGAGATGAATATATCAACGATGCATTGTCGGCATCATCGCGCCACGCGCGTGGCGGTTCAACGGTCACAGGAAGGAATTTCAATAAAAACACAGAGAGAGAGAGAGAGATTCCTGACAACCCAACGTCTCAAACTCAGTGCTGGCCCTGACGACGATCCACGCGTCCTCGCTGTGGCCCCGGTGGCCTCGTGGCGGACGTGAGTGTGCAAGCCATGTTGACCCTCGTCGCGGCGAGTGTTGGCGGCGGTGGGGGGGGGGGGAGGCGTTGAGTCTGTGGCGAGTATCGCATCTCCCGTTGCCTCCTGGCCTGCCGCCTGCAGGCGACGATAACGCGACTCGCTCTCTCGGCGTGTTTGACGGTGATGGCGGCGGCACCGCGGTGTTGGTGAGGTGGTCGGGTGCTGTTTTGGTGGGGGTAGTGGAAGGGGGGGGGGTAGTGGAGAGGGTGGTGTGGGGGGGCGGAATTCATAATTCGTGCGTTTGAGTGCCCAATCAGCGATGCCAAGATGTTGAGATTGAGTCTGGGTGTCGTCCAGCTCCATGAAACACATCTGTGAGTTGATCAGCCATTGGTTTACGCGAGCCTGACTCTGCTGCCGATGAGACACTGAATGTCGACGAAACCAGTCCTTGTCTGTAACCGTCTGGCAATTCACCAGCCATTGGTTTAAGGCGAGCCTGACTCTGCTGCTGATGAGACACCCGAGTGTCGAACCCGGGTATAAAATCGACGCTGGTGAAAAATTGTCGCTCCCAGAAGGAAGGCCGTGTTGCCGATTTTAGATGTGTAAAAAACTAATAATGAAACGTGTCATGTGGAGAGGCAGATATGTGGCAGGAGGCGTGTACAGGTAGTCCCCGACTTACGATGGGGTCGTTGTAACGCATCTCCATCGTAAGTCGGAGACTGCCTGTATATTGTCTGCTTAATGTTTCGTGATGAAGCTGTGTGCTCAAGCCACTGGAGCTATGCACTTTTAAATCTATCCGCTTTTATACATAGATTGAAAACTCATTTCTCTAGAACTGTTTTTTGTATTTAGTTTGCCGTCCTTGCCCCGCAACTCCGATTATCACAGTTGGCTACGTACGGTGCAAAAGAAGTTCAACATACTTGGATACAACCGTGCACATAAAACCACCGGATAACACTTAGGCCGTCACTGAATCTTGCGATTATCCCAGCGATGATAAATAAAAGTGAGTGAAGTAAACAAACGATAACCTCCCTCGGTGACATCACCGCAGTGCGTATCCAGCGGGGAGCTTCCCACACATTTTCAAAGCCATGAACGAAGTCTCTCGCTCGTGACTTTGGACCGCACGGGATGCGCACGGGTGGCCGAAACTTGGTGGTGTGAACCCCAGCTTCTCAGCGGCGCCACCTGAGTGCCGGCCACCTCCACCGTGGTGGCGAGATGTTAACTCCCTCGCCTGGTACACAGGAGGTCGTGGGTTCGGTCCCGACCCTGACGCCTGCACATTTGGAATTAGCGTTTCTCTCTCTCTCTCTCTCCCCGTGGTCGTGTCGATTTTTCTCCAGGTCCTCCGATTATTCCCCTCCACATTTAGATTCAACATGCGTTCAGAGTATTTGGCTGCTATATACTTACACGTGATAAGCCACTTCGTTGAGCTATTATTTGTGGCCCGGTCGCTTCTGAAAAAAGCACAATAGCTCAGTGGGCCTTACCTGGTAAAAATAAAAACAGTCGTTTAGTTTTTCGTATTTTAAAGAAACGCCTTCTCTCCTCCGACCACCCTCGCCTCTCCCCCCCTTCCACCCCCGCAGAACGGTGTGGTTCACAGAGATCTGAAGTTAGAAAACATCCTCCTGGACGAGAACAACAACATCAAGGTAACCTGCTGCCGCTGTACCCTCGTCGCTTGTTGCGAGAGGTTTCGCGGTCCGATCCCTGCCGCCCTTCCTGGTAACCTCTTGTCAACGTCACGCGTTCAGAGCGTTAGCGCTGCCGTACATTTCCACACGACGAGCCACCTCCTTTCAGCAATCATTTGTGGCCAGACCGCTTCCGAGAGAGAGCTACGCCGTCGCTCGGTGGGCCTATTGCGCGGTAAAATAAAAATTGCTTCCGCTTTAGTTAGCTCGCTGGCTTTTAAATATCGCCGACGAATCGGCCACACGAATGAATTGCCATCTGCTGCACAGAGGGCGTTTAAAGATTTCCATGCCCCCACTCCCCACCCACCGCCCCCCCCCCCCGACGTCATTCGGAGAGGAGTAGGCCACTGTGCACCAGCGTCACGGTCCAAATTTGTTAAATTGGTCGCATGCCAATCCGAATCGGGAAAACGGGGTAGGACACTCCTGTGTGGTAGCCGTGATGATGATAATAATAATATTACAACCAGTGAAGCGAAATATTCGTCGGGTGGAGCGGTGGCACGGTTTTTAGTTTGCTGTCCTTCACCCTGCACCTCCGATTAGCACGGTTGGCTATGTAGGGTGCGAGAGAAGTTCAACGTACACACGTTCATACGGTGTGGTTAGCGCACTGCACTTTCGAACCTGCCGACCCAATTTCGATATCCGGTTACGATGAGCGGTAACCAGTACACGCCGCACATCTCATAATATATCTAAACATCTCCTCGCATCTCTCCACGTTTCCACATCACCGCACACCTTGTCACATCTCTCCACATCGTCTCTACACATCTTCCCCACATCTGACCACATCACCCCTAACCATTGTACATCACCCCACATCTCCCCATGTCTTCCCCACACATCTCCACATCACCCCACATCTCCCCACGTCCTTCCCCACGTCTCTCCGCATTTAGTGACATCTACCCCCTCTGCCCCCATCCCGTGTCCTGGCAGCTCGCGGATTTTGGCCTCTCGAGCCAGTTCCACGGTGACCGACTGCTCCAGACGTTCTGCGGAAGCCCCCTGTACGCGTCGCCCGAGATCGTCAACGGACGCCCCTACCGAGGCCCCGAGGTACGGTTTTACGCTGGCTTTTTAAAATTTTATTTATTTTATTTTATTTAATCCAGATAAGGCCCCCACTGAGCTATGTAGCTTCATCACGAAGGTTTTTTTTTTGAGGTGGTGAGATGGCACAAGTGCAAATGTGTCGTTATTCTGCCACCACCCGACACAGCTAATTAGTGAGGTTTGTCACGTAAACAAAACGTGCCAAATAGTTACTACCTCAGCACACCGGTGTGTTTAAGAGTAAATCCACAATATTTACAATTTGAAATCTGGTAAATTCGCCCAATGACGCTGGATGTAATTACCAGCGGGATCGGTGTTTGTCGTTGTAACGCTCTGACCCGCCCCTACTGGACATCTGTGAAAAAGAGCTTTATAGCTCATTGGATTCCTCCAGAATAAATATCCTGATTCTGAATGTGTAAACATTGCCTTTGTGTGCTGGCAGGTGGACAGCTGGGCCCTGGGCGTGCTGCTCTACACGCTGGTGTATGGGACGATGCCCTTCGACGGGCGTGACCACCGCACACTCGTGCGCCAAATCAGCAGCGGCGACTACAAGGAGCCCACACAGCCCTCCGGTAAATGGCTGCCCTGTCACCCACCCGGGCATCTCGCTCGCTCACCGGCTCCCTCGGTCACTCACCCACCCAACCACAAATTCATTCACTGGCTCACTCACTCTTTCAACCACTCACTCATTTATTCACTGGCTCACTCGCTCACTCACCCACCCATTCATGCATTCACCGGCTCGCTCACTCATTCACTCAATCATCCACCAGCTCGCTCACTCACTCATTCACTGACAGGCTCACGCATGCATTTCTTCACTGCCATGCTTGCTCAATCACTCGCTCATATGCTCGCTCACTCACTCATTTGTTCAGCGGCTCACTCACTTATTCACTTACCCGCTCGCTCGCTCATTCACCATCTTGCTTGCTCTCTCACTAAACCCCTTCCCCCCTGGCCTACTCATTATAAAATCTACAAATGTACGCACAAAATACGCCAATGAAAAACACCCGATTCTAATGCAAACTCACAATCCAACACATGTGTCATTCGTGTAGATTTCAATCCATTACTTATTCTATCCCAAACGTTAACAAACATGTGCTCCCCTTAACCCCCGCCACCCCCCCCCCCCCATCCCCCTCCCCCTGCATTCCCGGACGAACCCAGATGCGTGCGGCCTCATCCGCTGGATGCTCATGGTGAACCCGGAGCGCCGTGCCAGCATCGAGGACGTCGCCAGCCACTGGTGGGTCAACTGGGGTCACAGCGGCTCGCTGTGCGACTGCGACGCCCGCACGCCCCCCACCGGCTCGCCCGCCCGCTCCCGTGGCTGGTCCTACCCGCAGCCGGCGCTCGACTCTCACCAGCGCTGGAAGGCGGCGGCGGCGGTGGTGGCTGCGGCGGCAGCCGGCGGCGAGCAGCGCGACGGCGAGGAAGACGGCGCCGGCATGGCCGCTCGCCCGGCGGGATCGGCGCTCGCCGCCCGGTGCCTGCAGAAGTCTCGCAAGGAGAACGACGTCAGCCACACTCAGGCCGCCGGCACTGGCGGCGCCGGCGCCGGCGCCGGCAGCGACCCCCAGCCGATCGCGGCTCGAGCGCCGGCGCGGAAGCCCAAGAGCATTCTGAAGAAGCGCAGCGACTTCGCCGAGCGCTCGCAGCCGGCCGCGCGCAGCCTCGACAGCTACACCTCCTCCGCCGCCGCCGGCGCCCGCTGCAGCTTCCCGGACGACGCGGAGCTGCCAAAGCGCGCGCCGTCGCCGTCGCGGTGCCGCCCCGCCGCGTCCGCCGGCGGCACCGCGAAGATGCCGCGGAAGGGGATCCTCAAGAACGGTGGCGGGGGCGGCGCCGGTGGCGGGGGCCAGCGGGAGAGCGGATACTACTCGTCCCCCGAGCGCAGCGGCTCGCTGGACATGACGGCGCTGCTGGCGGTGCGGACGGGCGGCGGGGAGCCGGACGGGAGCGGCGCCTGGCGCTCGGTTCTCACGACGCCGCCTCCGCGCAGAGGCAGCAGCGGCTTCGTGGTGTTGCGCCACAAGGGCATCCTGAAACGCCACGGCAAGTTCTCCCAGAGGCCCGCCGGTCTCGGCGCGGAGGCCCCGCCGGCAGCGCGCGTGTCGCGATCGCTCGGCGATCTGCTCCTGCTCGGCGATGCCGGGGGTGGCGGAGGGGGCGGCGGTGAGCGGGGCTCCGGTGCCGGAGGCAACCTTCAGAGTCGCCCTTCGAGCGTGATGAGCGACGACAGCATCCTGTCGAGCGAGTCGTTCGACTGTCTGGACTTTCAGGAAGATGTCGTGGACGGGCGCAATGTCGCCGCCGCCGCCGCCACCGCCGTCACGATCGGCCTGAGACCGTCCAAGAGCCGAGAGCCCAGCGAGGAATCGGTGTTTGATGACGACGACGACGACGACGATGACGAGGACGACGACGACGTCTCCTCTGCGATGAATACTTATGAGCGAGTGTTGCAGTTGAGTCCGAGGCTCATTTGACCTCGAGGATGTCGCTCAGACGCTCGCCCACGCGCACGCACGCGTGGCCACGCACGCACGCACGCGTGGCCACGCGATATCGCATTAATTTAATTTTTATTTTTTATCGCCGCGTATGTTCACGCGTAATCTGTGCCAAACGCTGCAACGACTACTGGAGGCTCGGCGGGGTGGGGGGGGGGGAGAAAGTTGTAAAGAGTAACTAAACGGCAAGTGAGGAACAAACCAAAGTCGATTTCTTACGAATCGTGGATGAGTTCATAACCAAATACTCGCGCGACGTTTCGATAGCTTTAGAGGTGGCCTGGTGGCCGGGTCAGTCCTGCTTATGTTCTGGGTTCAATTCCAGGTTTCAGCCCAGCTACCTGTGATTATTACACTTTTACTTTGCGAGTGTTAAGCAAGTTTATTATGGGTTTTGGTTTTGGCCTTGGTCACAAAGCAAAATCAGCAATGTCAAATTGGGTTTGGCATTTATTGTTTTATTTATGCAAATATTTCACCTGGATCGTCACTTGAGATGGAACATCTCATTTGCAAAGGGTTTCCAGGTTGTCTGTTGCTACACGCATAGCAAACGCGTAATGACGTGTATATATACATACACATGTGTGTATGTGTATATATACACATCTATAACCTACAGAACGTCTGCCCATCTTGATTGGCATAGAAGACCTATTGAGAATCCCACGAAGTGGTACTCATTTTAATTCCCCCTGGACGCACGATGGTCGGCTGAGTCAACCCCCGGACCAGGATTTAAACTAACGCTTTCCGAGTCTGAGCCGCCCACTCTAAGGCTCGAATCAGCTTGGCCAGTCGACACTTTGACCTTTGATCGACATGCGACAAATAAACTTTACAGGGTGTATGAAAAGATATGACCCCCCCCCTCCCCCACCGTGTGTGCTAATTAAGACGCTGTTAAATGGACTTCTAAAGTAGTTCTGTAGTATCTTCTTCCAGGGGTTTGTTCTCTGACACACGGTGATGCACTACTAGCTATGGAGCTCGGAACGGATAATTCTCGGACAAACCAAAACAAAATATATTCTAAACTAAACTATTTTTTATTTTACCAGATAAGGCCCACTGAGCTATTTAGCTCTTTTTCAGAAGCGACCTGGCCACAAATAATAGCTCAACGAAGTGGCATATCGTGTGGAAATGTATAGCAGACAAATACTCTAAACGCATGTTGATTCTAAATGTGGAGGGAAAAACTGGAGGACTTGGGAGACAAATCCACACGACCATGGGGAGAACATGCAAACTCCAAATACACAGGCATCTGGGTCGGGATTGAGCCTACGCCCTCCTGCATACGAGGAGATCGTGGGTTCGACCGTGAAAGGAGAAGCACTGTAGGAGAAGAGTGGAGCGAATCCTAACCAAAGCCAGCTGCTGTAGTTTTTCCACCGTGCCAAAAGCTATGCAAGCCTTTGCCTAGGCCCGAGCCTGGCGTCTGTCCGCCACCCTCAATGTTGTGCTCGCCTGCTTCGGTGGTGGTGGTAAGTGCATCTGGCTTAACTACGCCGTGAACACAAACGTATCTATACTCGAGCTGCGTTGGGTTCGATCGTGTAACTATAAATGTGTCGTTAAAACCCACCACCACCCGACAGACAGTCAATTAACAACGTTTGTCACGTAAACAAAACGTGCCAAATCGTTACGAGTACAGCACACCGGTGGGTAGAAGAGTAAACCCACAACATTTACAATTCGAGTACGACGTTTCGCCAGTAATCACAACTAGCACCGTCAGGCGAGTTGTCGCCTGATGATGTACTAGTAACGAATTGGCATGTGTTTGTTTACGTGACAAACCTTACAATTTGACTGTGTCGGCTCGTGCCGGGTTTAACGACGCATTTATATTCACGACATTTCACCCAAAAAACCTCCATTGCGGATATTGGTCGCGAACGCCTGCGTGTTAAACACACAAACGTGTCGAGTACGCGTTCGGTACAGGATCGTTGATGGTAAGCGTTGTGGAACTGTCGAAATATTTGCTCTCTGCAACTTTTGCAGAAAACAGAGAGGACTAAAAGCACTTATCACGGAATAGTAGCGGTAGTCGCCAAAGCCATCGAGGGGCCCTTTCGAGTTGCTCCTCCTGTTTTTATCGCGCCCCCCCTTCACAGGGGATATGGAAAGAAAGGGCGCAATTTGTGTTTGCCTGTGCCCATATTCAGCTCCGGGCAGGTTGCAGCGAGCTGATGGAAGGCGAGAACGGTAAAAGGCGCAGCCCCCTGCAATCGGTCGTCTCGTGCCGCCGCCGGTGGAAGGGCCTCCGCTAAGAGAGCAGTTCTCTCTCGCGGCTATATTTGGCCTACTCTTCCTATGCTGGGCAGCTGCCGTGGAACGTTGCGAGTACACCCACAATCGACTCCATCGCGTGCGACCCGTTGCAAGGATGTGGGATGGGCCATCAAATGCTGGGGCAGGGGGGGGGAGTTCTCCTCCGCTCCCCTCGGAACTCCTTGGGTCAGGAGAGGTCCCCCCCCCCCGCTAGAAATTAATTTACCCGGATTTTTGCGAATGAATAAATGAAGTGTTGTCATGGGAGGTGGGGGGGTGGAAGAAGCAAGATTGCAATAAAAATGCGATGTGAATTTTAAACGAAAGTGTGAATCTCCTTTTTGACATCGATCATATTTTACTGAGTTTTTATCGACATTCAGGTGTATACATACAATAGAGTGTAAAGATGAATAGATTAATACAATACAGTGTAAATATGAATAGATTAATACAATAGAGTGTAAGAAGCATTGGACAGCGTGTGGGTAAAGTGGCCTTCGCCCAGGCTTGACAGTTTCGAGTTGCTATGGTGATCGTGGTTCGCACACCACTGGACCTGTGGACCCAGAAGTCGCCGGTTTGACTCCATCTCCCGGCGCGGCAGGCGAAACAATGGTGCAAGTCTCCCAAATCCAACCCCCAGCACCCTCCCTTCCCGCCTCCCTCCACCCGCCTCTGCCCACAGCAGCCGTACAAATGAGTCGCACCTCCGCGATTCGCACGGTTTGGGCTACGCACGCTGCGAAACAAGTTCAACATTTTAGTCGATGGGCAGGTCGCGTACGCTGGGGTAGAATGTGTCCACGCCCGCCTCTTCCAGGACGTCTGATGGATGCACATGTTAGGGATAATACCCACGCGAGAGGCTCCCTTATAGTGGAGGAGGCCCCCTTCAATGAGCACTGAACATCTGTTGTAGAAGCGTTTGCCCAGGCCCAACATTGGAGTGACATGGGGGAGCTTTCTCGCGGTGGAAATGGATCGGGTTTTTTTCCTTCTTCTCTCCGTTAAACCTGTTCAGCACTGCCCGTGTTTGCAGACTAAATATCGCAACGTCACCAACTGACTTTCACCACCGTGCTAACAGAAGAAGGCAGCATTACCCACCCCCCCCCTTAAACCCAACTCAAAGGGGCAAATCTGCGGGCGGAAAATGATTACTGCCGCCCCGTGGGGTTTGTTTACCGTGAGAAAATACTACGTCTCGACGCTGGAGATCCCGTGACTTCGTTCGCAGGAGTTAGGCGATTGTGTCGGGTCAAAAAAATTTGCACCGCAAATTACTGAGTCGTGGGACTCGGCGAGGCTTCCTTGGATAAGCGAGCGAAATAAATACTGTAAAAAAAAATAATGCATTGTCACATTTGCGATTCCTATCTGAGATGTATGTCCACCGATGATCCTTTCGCAGACAGCTCGTTTATTTACCCCAGGAAAACCTCGCCGAGACTCGCTTTTCAGGATGAACCCTGCCGACTTTTCGCAGCCACGGGGGTGGGGTGGAGGGCAGCGATTGCTTTGCGCGTTTTCCCAACTTTTCAAATTCAGCAAACATTTGGAGCGTGATGGCAAACGTGCACACGGATGGCCTCCTGTTTTCTTAAACGATTTTTTGTTTGTTTTATATTTTACCTGGTAAGGCCCGCTGAGCTATGTGTAGCTCTTTTACAGAAGCGACTTGGCCCCAAATGATAGCTCAACGAAGTGGGCTCATCACGCGCACATTTATAGCAGCAGCCAAACACTCTAAACGCGCGTTTCTACATGTGGAGGGGAAAACCGAAGGACCCGGAGAAAAATCCACGCGACAACTCTAAATATCCAGTCGTCAGGGTCGCGATAGAACCCATGACCTCCTGTATACCGGGCGAGGTAGTTAACATCTTGCCAACGACGCCGCTGCGGGGATCCTTTAACGACCGCCGTGTGCAGTAGCAGACGGCACGTATTTTTGTCCCCGATTTAACACACCCATGGCATTAACCATACACTCGTGGTATTAACCAGGGCGGCCGTCCGGATTTAAACCGCGAACCTCTGCGGTTGCACGCGACAAACGTGCAACCGCTTGACCGTATCGCCCCCCCCCCCCCACCTCAAATGTACAAATGGCATCTCCAGATGGAGGAGAGGATGGAGGAGGAGTGGGGGAGGGCTCGCGCAAGTCCGTTGCCTCCACAAGCACGAACAAGAAGAATGTGGCACAACTGCGAGTAGTTTTGTTGTTGATATTTTAGAAAGGGATGTGGGTGAGGTGTAGTGGGTGAGGTCGAGTGGGTGAGGTGGGTTGTGTGGGGTGGGTGGTGGACAATAACCCCGTCGGCATTCAGAACGCGTGCGGTGTAAGCGACACGGACGACCGGTCGCCGTTGACAGGAGGGGGCCCCTGTGTGTGGCCGCAGGGCCTTCATATTTGTTCAGCCTGCCGGTGCCTTTTGCTGCCCGACTCATTTTTGGTAGCCCACGCTGCACGTTCGGTCGACCGAGCCAGCCGCGTTGAAATAATTTCAGAACGGCGAGAATGTATTTTATTTTATATCTATGTTTTTGTTTTGTTTTTAGTGATAAGAGCACGGGCAACAGAAGCACGGTCATTAAAGGAAGAAGAAGACAAGCGCAAATGTGGAATACAAACTGAAAAGCGCGTAAAGGAGCGTGGGCCTTGACATTACGTCGAGAGACTGTGAAGGAGAACATGCGGGTCAGAGGACGTACCCAGGTCACACTGTAACTCGACGTAACAATTCGCATCATTCTGTTGAGAATATCGACACCAAGATTACTAAGCAGGCAATGAATCTCCTTCCCTCCCGCAACCCATTGGCCGCACGGCCTTCTGGGCTCGCGTAACTTCAGCAGCATCGTTTGAAGACAAGTAGAGAACAATGCTTTGTCGAAAAAGGTTCGTATCATTGTCATTCAGGCTGTTAAAAACGTGGCTTGGGCATGACGCATCATGGCTATAAAACAGGGGTGGGGAACGTCCGACCCACGGGCCATATAAGGCCCGCGGAATCATTTGGTCTCTGGCCCTGCCAAGGCAACCGCAGGCGGGACTCGAAATTCAATCAATCTAGGAGCAAACCTGGAAAAGCAGTTGCGAGTAGCAACATCATCAATACCAGCCAATATCATCACACGCCTTACCAAAGCGAAGCAGTTCCAGCCATCACATTAGGGGTGAGTTAATTAAATGTTTGACCAAATATTTTAGGTTAATTTTAAGTTAATAATTTTGTATGGCCCACAAATGATGTTATAACTATACAAATGGCCCCTGGCATAAAAAAAGTTTCCCCACCCCTGTATAAAGGATGGCCGACGGTCGTATGTATGTTGAACTTCTTTCGCACCGTACATAGCCAACCGCGATAATTAGAAAAACAATAACGGAGTGACAGCCAATGAATGCAACGCGTCCGAGAGGACGTCCAACCGAGGAGATGGAGCCGCGAAAATCAGTTCCGTGTGCATGCGCTGGGTGGATTTGTGAGATCGCAGGATCGTGAGTGGGTGGGTAGAGGCGACTCGGGGAGGCATTCATGCAGCAGTGGATTCGACAACGGGACTCTACGTTTGTCTCACCCCAAGATGACTTCGAAGCCCACTTCTGTTCGACACTTATTAACCAGCGGCGATCATTCCGGTGCCTTGGCTGACAGCGGATAAGAGAGAGCGAGAGAGAGATACGGAGAGAATTTCCTGCAGCTTATCTCGGCTGCGGTTCCCTAGCTCCGTCGTTCAACGAGGTTGACTTGGACCTTTATCGCTCGGGCAGGGACCAAAGTGTAGCGGTCGGACTGTCAGCAACGTGCAAGGCAAAGGTGCAGCCCTGCAATTGCCTGCTCACCC